CACAAGGATGAGCCCCCTTGAATGTATGTTATGTTTGTCTCTGTGTCGCAGGTGGTTGTGACCAACACGGTTCCTCATGAAGTGAAGAAGATGCACTGCCACAAGATTAAGACGGTGGACATCAGTGTGCTGCTGTGCGAGGCAATCCGGCGCATCCACCACCGGGAGTCCATGTCGTACCTTTTCCGCAACGTGGGCATGGACGACTGAGGTGGTCACAGTCAGACACCGCCGAGGCCAATCAGGGATTCTGTTATTGACGTTTGGTTACTGTTACAGTGACACTTGACGGTGTGCCTCAGCTTTTGACGTCTGCAATTGTGACCCCTGTGTGAAAGAATCCAAGTAAACAACAGACCTTTTTGTATGTGTGTGAATGCTTGTCTGTATGTGTTTATGTGTGCTCGCAGTTTGATGTGCGTTACTTGACATTGTATTGTTGTATCGATTCGTGGTGTTAATTGGTATTGGGAGGGAAATTTTGTCGGTGAATTTTTTTTGTTACGAGGTGTATGTAGAATATTGTGTTTTGCTCATGCCAAAGCCTATCATGTGTGTATGGGTATTGCAGTTTATGTGTTAAGGTTTTTATAGTATAGTTTGTATGCATTCTTATGATATCAGACTTGTGTGAAAGAGCATGAATGCAACCTTTTTACTTTGTGTATTTGAGTGTATGACAGTGGCAATGACAACTTTTGTTCATATTATCCTCAGTGGAGGAATAGCGTCTACTTACTGAAAAGAATAAAGACTTTTTTTCATAGGCTTTCTTCTTCCTTTTCTTTTCTCTGTGCTCTATTCAAACACTCTCATATTCACTCACTTACTCACTGTCTTGTTGTTTTCTTCAAAGGCCAGGCACAGATTCCCGAAATCCCCTTTCCTTACAAATTATTAGTCACATTCATATTTTACCAACAGTGCTTTGTGCAAAGACAACGTTTTTAAATCCATTATTCATGAAAAGAAGTTTTGCATACTTTTGGTAACCTGACAGGTTGGCTGAAATTATATTATGAAGGAATATGAGTGTGTGAGTTTGTGTGCTCGTCAATTATTATTTGTGTACATATTTTTATTACAGAGTTTACGTATGTAAAGTTGACCAATCCTTAGTCCGTCTTGTTTGATTTCCCCTCCCCATGCATGTTGTCACTGAGTGCTGTTGCTTCCTTGACATCTCGGGATTCTTTTGCCCTTTTACCTTTAAACGACTAACTCATGTCAGCTGTCGGTGAAGACTTTGCTCAGACTCAGAGTACTCCGATGGGGTTGTAGTGTTCCTTAGTGGTTTTTACCAACGCTGCAGTTTCTGCTGTGAGGGAATTGTTGAACAGTGAGTTTGCTTTATCCTGTGATTATGATGTGATTCCTTTGAATTGTGTTTTCTTTCCCATTATAATCTAATTTTCTGTACATCACGGTGGGAGAGTTAGGGGGGTTTCTCTTTGTGTTATCACTTGATCATTATCAGTCATGCCTGATCATACCAGATTTTCAAAAATGTTTGTACGCATTTCGTGGGCTGTGAGAAATGACAATCTGTTGTGTATTTTAGGAATGGTTTTGTGTGGTTTACTACTTATATAGAGATTTAATTCATGTCCATTGCCTCTGTTCTGGTCTCTACTTTTGGCTCAAGTTTCAAATTTTTTTTAATGAAAAAAGAACTGAGATTTTAGTGTTTATATAATTTTGTAGAGTGTTTTTAATGTGGTTTGCTCCGTGAATTCCCATTCTGTGCATTACAACAATGTCATTTTGCATTTTTCATGTGCTTTGCTGTCCAAGTTCAATGCTCTTTAAGTTGCCGGATTATAAAGTCTGATTTGCTCTTTTTTATTCCTATTTTATTATCTCAGCTGATGCTGGGTTTTTTTGGTTTTTAGTAGGACTGGAGAGCAGACATGGCAGTGGAAAGGTTAATGTTGTCATTGCATCTGTGTTCTTGAACAGGCAAATAGGCTACCAAAACAGGTATAGCAAAAGCAATAAATGTCAGACTAAACATTTTGTGTCAATGTCAAAAATTGCTATTTCATGTGTATGTTACTGAATGAGAATGTGAGGCTTGTACTTTTTGTGTGCATGTTGGCACTTTGGTTTAACACTGCACATGTGTGTACTCCTGTTCATGGGGAATATCCTGCTCATGCATGAGGCCATTGGCCTTGGTACGGTAGGCCTATTGTATTTTCTAAATCTTTACATTAGCAGTTAAAAATAAAACAGGCTGATAGCTGAGCAACAAAGGTTATGGATCCTCTTGAGATATGGTATTTATATGTGAAGGCTCTGTTGGTACTTGCTGTTAAGAGATTGTTTTGATTTTGTGGATTCTGCAGAATGTTCAGTGCAGTTATTGTGATGAGCAGTCATGTTCACTTCAAAGAAGAAAGATTGAAAGCACTTGGGTTGTTGTTTTAATCAGAAGTTTTGATATATATAATATATATGCTTTCCCTTTTAAAAACACTAATTGTGAAATCACACTTGTCTCACTTTGAATTGTAAATGATTGTGGTGCAGTGTAACTCCCCCAGTGTCCACCCTAATTCTCTGTACCATACATAACTGGGTGTGCACTCCTCACATGTGGTTTTTTTATGTCAACGATTGATTATACTTTCTGTCTGGGCTCATACTGCCACCTAGTGTTGGGAAGTATTTAGCCCTGCCTTGTTGGAAATAATTTGGAGATGGGAAGTCGAGAATAGTGTCTTTTCATCGTGAGTGATTTGAGTTTGGAATGCTTTGTGCTGTTTGCTCCTTACACTTCCTTAGCACTGTTTTTAGTGTTACCATCATATATCATTCATATTATGCAGACAACAAGGTGCCCATTTTAGTCTGTGCTCCTTATGATAATGCCGTAAGCCTCTCATGTCAGATTTGAGGGAGCCAAGGACACAAACTTATGACCATGACATTTTTGTGTTTCCTTTACCAACACCGAAGACTGAAGCAGCCCACCATAGCATGATGTGAACCCTGGATCAAATACACGCTTGTGGCGCTCATCATACAAACATGTTGCACTCAATTATTTCTCAATGTGCTGCTTTACCTGTTTATGACCCGATGCTCCTCTTATTAATACTAATACTTACTTGTAGTGTGCATGGTTTGAGACTTTTTGGGGGGGAAATGAATAGCAATTGTTGTAGTGTGAAGCACCTGGCAGTCTTCAAAACTTGATAATTGAATTTGGCTTTTGAGTTTGAATTACATGAATTACATGTAGGCCTATTATATGTATGTCCTTGTGATGAAATCTGGCTTTCATCAAAATAATTAAATCAAAGAAATCGTCATTTTTCCGGCAATTTTTAATATAATTTTTGTTTTTGTTCAGCACCCTTTATTTCTATTGTTAAAATCACATTCCTGTGTAGATAAAATGTTGATCAAACGCACACAAAAATTTCAGTTTGCAGTTTCTAAGGCCACTCAAACTTTTGAAGCCACCAAACTTTGGCGGCCATTTTCCGGTTATTTTACCTATGACATCAGGTTACCCCCACCTCCTTCAATTTAATCATAAATATTTGACTGCTATTTGAGATGGGTATTTCTTTTTTCATCACAAGCAAGACAAATGAACAAGCTTTAAATGGTACGGTACCAATAACTCTATATTTGCCCAAAAATTGACGAGCACCTGATTTCCCAGCGTGTCATAACACATATGATGTTATTGTTAGTAATTTGCTGTAGAATTTGGAAAAGACTCAAGCGAGGGTTCTTTTCACTATCCTGTTTTGCTACTTCAAATGTTATGATGGATAGAGGCAGAAGCAAGGATAGCACATCTCAGAGACTGGACATAACTTAGGTCAAATAACTGCATGGTATTGGTGGGCACTCAATCTTAACTTACTTCTACCCTTCTCCGGACCAAAAAATATTTTAGTTTTTATGAGGCATGCTACATTCTTGGTGCCACTTTACTTTTGTTCTGGAAGTTTTCAGTTCTTTCCTCTCCGGTCCCCTTTTTTCAGGATCTTTACGTTTATATTCTCTTTCTTGCTTACAATATTATTTTAAAAACTTCTGAGAGTAGTGTCTGTTCTTTTCAACTCCAGTGCCCTGAGCAAAACAAAAATAGTTTTAAGTACATGTACAATACTTGTGAGTCATCCTCTGTGATTTCATGTTGTGTGATTTTAGAATGATTCAATTTGATGAGTTACCGTTACATCATTAGCCTATTACTTGTACTATTGACTGTTACTGGTAGTTCTTGTTTGTATTGATATTGGGATATGTCCTGACCACTGTGAAAATTTGTTCAGTTTGGCCTACCTATGATTCATCTCCACAACTGACAAACTCTTTTGTCTCCTGCTGTCTGTTTCTGTCTGTCTGTTCTAAGAAGGAAAGGAAAGAAAATGTTGGGTTTTTTAAACATTTAATTTGTATTGTGGGTCAAAAAAGAAGTGGAAAATGTCCAGTACTGATTGAAATGTGTCAGCATGAACTGTTTTGACCCGATTATCAGTGTTATTTGTTGAAGTTTGTGAATTATGTATGCTGGTATCTGTTGTGTTACTGTTATGATAGGGTTTCTGCTTTACACAAATAAGATACTGGAAATGGGTACAGTGGGTTTTTTTCTTGCATTTTTGTCTTAAATTTTTCAGAAATAATAGTATTAATAATTTAGCATTTTATTGCACATTACATCCATGCTCCACAACATGTTATAGCAGTGCCAGTATAGACTGTACCTTATACAGCTAAACCTCAATAACACCCCCTCCCCCTCCCCCACTGTTGTGTGCCAGCAGTAAAGTCCTCACTAAACTAACATATTTGCCCTCAACATGACCGGCAAACTGGCTACCTTCCAAAAGCAAAATTTATACCACACACAGCTACTGACACCTACTTGGCAGCTGAGCAGTTATAAATATAATGTTTCTTTTCCCCCCACACGACTCTTTGAGCTAGATTTAATTGATGTCACGCTTTTCTCTGATTTGCTCCCTCCTCACCCATGTCTTGTAGACAAGCAACACGTATAAAATTTATCAAGTAGCCACTGATCCAGCTGAAAGCCTTATTTTTTATTTAAATTTATTTTATGGGGTCATGACGAGACAATCAGCTGGAGCTGTAATTAGTTGCTAAACCCCCCCCTAGAAAAAATAAAATTTTGTAAATGTTTACGACATGTATGAATACACTAAGTCTAAGTACTATACCAAGACTAGATTGTCTCAAGTGAGAAGCCTGAACACCAGCTCGATTTACGAGGAGGTATCAATAATTTTTATTTTTACCTAAGTTTGAAGGAGTGGAGCTACGAACTTGAAATTTGAACAGGTTCAAGATACATCTAAGCTAAGAATGCACACCAATAATTGGGAATTTCCTTCAATAGCACTTTACATTTTAGTTGACAAAATGGAATAAATTGAAATGAAAGCTGTGATGAAGTTCCTTCATCTCCAAGACCACGGTCTGTACACGATGAAATGTCAGTAGTGTATGGAGATATCTGCCCGAGCTATGATGTGGTCAAATATTGGTGGGAAAATAACTCATTAAAAATATTCTTAATATAATAATATGAAAAATAATTGTCCTTAATCTAGTCATGACAGAATCATTCCCCTTGACGTTTGACCCCATTGTACTTATTATTATACCGCCAACTTAATGCTCATCCCAAGGTTGGCGATATAATAAATTTTAATTTTAACTGGGTTCTAAATTATATTACCAGTATATTGATGATTCGGAGTTTTTTAAAATACAATCCTGAGCTGTGCTTTTTTAAAAGAGATATAAAACCAATTTTCCCCAAGAAAGAATTCATTTGTGTGCCTACTTGTTGAACTTGTAAACATTTTTAGGGCAGTGAAATGTCTTCCCTCTTCTGTCTTGTTCGACTTGAATAAAAAAAAATATTATGAGAATATTGAGAAGTTCTGTTGCTGTTAGTATAGTTCATAAATTGTTTTTGTCAATCAAAATGAAATACGCTTTATTGACAATGTCAAACAAACAAAAAATATTAGTACAGTAGTCTCCGCCTAAGATCCCGGTGCTCAGGTGCAGGGAAATGCAGGATCTTAGGCGAACCGAGATCTTAACCGACGAACCCAGGGAAGAATCTATGGTGACTCATGTTAAGGCTCACGATCCATAAAATGGTCTCCCTCCACTCTAAAATGACTGACGTGACCGCTTTGTGGGTTTATGACGTATGGCAAGCAAAGAGTGGTTAACCTTGATAACCTATCACAGTGCTTAGTGGCATGAGGTATGCCATTTTCACTTATTGTCCTATCATGAGTCTCAAGATGTACGCTTATCCAGTTGCCCCTCCCCTTTACCTGTCAAAAATTTATAGCTCCCCCCCAACCGCCTTTGTCATTACACACCATTACGTTGTGAATACACCAATTAAAATTCAGTCTGTCTCGCAAATTCGGGAGTAGAGACAACTGTAGCAATGGTCGGGGAAGAGTTCACGCTTCGATGTGATCCCGCCTTGAGGGAACGTGTAGGCCCTACCCACCCAGCGTGTGATGTAAGTTTAGGGGTAGAGCTCAGGTGTGAGTGCGATGCGTGGGGAAAACAAACGTGTAGGTCAGTTCACATCCCGGTGTGATCCCGTCTGGGGCAAACATTGTATCGCTTCATCGAGTTTTACAACGTGTATGTGATCATATTCATGATAGGGGCTGATCTTTGACGCAACGGACTGTTTATTGATCTCAAACTTTTCACTCTTGGTTGATCAGCTGTGCCCGCCCGTGATTTTTGTCCCGCAAATTATGATCTGAATTGCGGGATCTTACCCGAATGTAGACCTTTAGAGTGAATCAGAGCGGGATCTTAGGGGTGACTTTTGTATAGTAAAAATTCTGTTTTCTTAAATCAGCGGCATCTTAAGCGAACCGGGGTCATAAGCGGTGGGATCTTAGGTGGAGACTACTGTACTACTAATTAGTACTATTATAACTTGACAGTCAAACCTTGTTCTACCACCAAGATATATATATTGCATGATAAGGTATACCAATACTATCCTACTTTTTCCCCTTTTAAGTTTTATAAACTAAATTAAACCACCAACTGTTTGAGACAGTCCTTACTGCAATGCGAGTTACCGCTTGTTACTCACTGATTTGCTCCGTCCCCACCCATCCCTTCTCCCCACCGTTGTCTTTTGGTGACAGTTTCAAGTAGCATGCGTTTAAACTTACTCTCACCCTTAATTTTGAATTTGTGCACAAAACCAAAGAGAGTAAATGAGAGAGACAGACTTGGGGAGAAAGAAAAGACTTTCTTCAGTCAGCTCTAAACTAGTATAAACATGAACAGTACCTGTACATGATGCATTTCATGTGTATATTAAACATGTCCAACTAAAAAAAAGACAAAGACACTTCTCCAACACAGATCACAATGATCACACAGTCAAATCATTTCCTTTGGTGCTGATAATTAATTAGGCTAAAGCAGAGGTCAGATTAGAACCCCATTATTATATCGTACAAATTTAAACTTAGGCCTACTTTTATAGTTGACTTATACTGCGAACTTTTTGTTTGTCCCAGGGTTGTCAGTATGGTTAGATATATCTTAGAGTATGAGTAGTATTATTACTCACTGTAATAGTAATAATAATAAATATCAATAAATATATATATGACGTTTGATTTGTACATGTAGGGCTACTACCGGTACACAGTGTAGTACTGCACTAGACAGACTACATATTATATTGTTCTGTATTGGAATAACTTCAATTTGAGATTGTATGTTACTCTGTATAAGTGTAAAACTGTTCTTAGTTCTAGTGGAAACCAAATCTGACTAAATGACTGCCACTGCAGGCTACTGTGTCAGATTATGAGCACAGTTTGGTTTGGTTATTCTCATTATGGCCTGGTTTCCGACAAATGTCTGATCTGAGATATATTTGACCTTGTTGGTTGTAAGTTTGTAAGCGCTCAGCTTTACTGCAGAAGGAAAGAAGTTACCAGTAGTGTAAAGTGTACCGGTACCCGCATGTGCACGATACTCAAAGAGGTGCAGTTTTATTTTTTTTTTAGATTATAAAAGATCATTTAGGAGGAGGGCTTCCAACCTTTCCTGTTGTAAATATGTTAGTAAATTATACTGTTGAGTCATCCCGGGTTGAAAAGGATACAGAGTTCCAACATTTCAACAGAAAGACTGAGACACTAAAAATTCCGTCTCACTGGGGAATCGAACTTGGGTCTAGTGTCTGCGACTGCGAAGCTCTCCACTACCCACAGGCGCTGGTGAAATGGTCAGTCCGTGCCTCCCATACAAAAAGTTACAGAATCAAACCAGTGTCATTTGTCATGTCCATGTTGCCAGGGGTCAAAATAGACTGACTCAGAAAGACATACAGTGGAAACCATATATATAACAGGCCCGGTAATAACAGGGATCCGGTAATAACAGGGATTTTTAAAATCCCCGTTTTTTCGTACTCTTTGTCTCTTTTAAAAGTTATCGGCAATAACAGGGCCTCATCGTGGCCCAACCGCTTATAGCAGGGACAAAGGCTCGTTAACAATGTGTAAAAAGTGAGAGAGAGAGTAACGCAGTGATGGAGCAAGCCCACGCAAGTCATGCCACAACAAGCACACGCAGCTTATGAAGCGAGAGGGGGCTGCGCTGTGCTGCAGACCTCGATCTAGCCCGAAGCCTAAGAACACGTTTGCGTAATGTGTCACCAACGATGTCAATCGCAAGAGAAAATGCCTTTCAATTGACAAAAAAATACGAAATAATCCAGGCTGTTGACAAAAAGCAAGCTCCACTGGCAGAGATTTGTTGTCAGTTCGACATTCCTCAAGGGCCGATTCACACCATTATTAAGGACAGAGAGAAGATAGTGGCAGCATACTCCAATGGAAAGTTTGCTCTGGATCGAAAGAAGATGAGACTACCCGATGCAGATGCTGTGGACCAAGCTCTTCTGATGTGGTTTAAGGAGGCGAGGAGAAAGTTTGTGCCAAAACCCCTGTTCGTGGGTACTTGTGGCAAGGGCAACTACCCATGAATAAGTACAGCTGGATTAGTCCACAAATGCTTACTTTCCTTGCATTTCTGATTTAACAGGGATCGGATATAACAGGACATTTCTCTACTCCCTCCATCCCTGTTATATCAGGTTTCCACTGTAGTCAGATGGTTGTATTTTTCATTAAAATGGTTGCGTTCGGCTGTGCTGAAGAAACTGGTTCAAACTACACCAGTGTTAGTGTTAGTAGGTTGTCTGAAATTGAAAACCATCAGTCGGCTCCACTTGTGCTGATTTTCGGTTAATTAAGTTTATCTTTTTCTCGCGTTCCAGCACCTTTTCTACAGTAGACCCCACAGGTCCCAGAGTTTAAATTAAAACTGGACTTTGGACTGGATGATCATGTTTTCAACATGTATCAACTCATCCATAGTAATAATAGCATTGCATTATTATGCAGGACTACTATACACTATAACCACAACATTTTTTCGTTTATAATTATATGTATGGCTATGGCATGAGGATTTTGAGAAAAGTTGATGATGCTATCGCTATCATATTAGGATAATATAGGCCTACTATTTTATGGTTGGTACTGTTGCGACAGTTATTTCATCCAGTGTTGGAGCAACTACTACTACTACTACTACTACCACTTCATTTTACTGGACCACTTCAATGTCATGTACTCATGTATTAGCATTAGCTTTGGTTCCTTGTAAGACTTTCTTACCTTTACTCTATAGTAGTGGTTACGGTAGTAACTTATGTAATGTATTTCACGATACAGTGGAATCAGATGATCGTCAATTTCTGGGCAGAGTTATTGGTACATGTATCATAGTTAAAACTTATTCTATCTTCTGCTAAGCTAAGAAGTCGAGATACTTTGGTTTAAAGGAAGTAGGGATCACCTGGTTTCATTCACTCAGAGTCAGAGGCAAAATTCACGAGAAAATGGCCGCCAAAATTTGGTGAATTTCAAACCTTTGAGACCTGCTACTTTTTTAAAATCCTTTCCAAACTGGAAAGAAAATGTTTTCTTCTACTTCTAAATTTCAGTATTTTGACGAACGCCTGGTTTTACTTTACCACGATGTCTCACAAACCCTGTTGGTATTTCGATACAAAGTTGCCCCTTTCCTATCAAACATTCTGTAGTCCTTTTATATATATATTCTCTCCTCCTTTTTTGTGTTTGTTACTCTTGTAATATTGTCACACTACTTATCTTCGAATTTTCACATGACTTTATTGTGTTGCAAGTGTTGGAAATCATATATATTGCTATTACTTGTCATAGGCTGCATACATGTAGTAGGTTCTGTTGCCTCTCAGTTGATGATGATGTCCATCATCATAAAGTAGGCCTATTTCTGATCATGGTTCAATCCACTCAACTGCATTATATTTGTACTGTGCACATGATCGTGATGTATAAAATAGGTGTATGTTTTTGGCTTTTCTGTTGTTGGTACCGGTACAAAGAGAAACAAATTTTAGAACCGAATCTGAACATGATGTGTTTAGTCTTTCTGTTTATTTTCAGTTTAGAAACTGGAAAGTTAGTTACTCTCCTTAGTGAGTGCCAATGGTTTGATTTTTTTTTTTTTTTTTTTTTTGGGGGGGGGGGGGTAAGTAAGTGTTTTATGGCACATGCAACTGCATACGGTCATTGTGAGCTGTTGTTGGTACAAAGAGAAATAATTTTATTTCTCCTTAGTGAGTGCCAATGAATTGATTGTCTTTTTTTCTTCTTTTTTTTTTGATAATTAAATTTATAAGTGTATTATTCTTTTATAAGCAACTCTGCATAAGGTCTATATATATTTATTTCATATGATATTTTCAGTTTTTGTAGGAATTTTGAGCTTTGCTCTGTGACGGGCGAAGCCTACTCACTCT